GTGCAAGCAGCGGACGTTGACCTGCAGGACGACAGTTCCTACATGTTCAAGTGGAAGACGATGGGAGACTGTTCGAGTGGCCTATTGCATTTCGCAATGAAACACCACGCTGAGACCCTGGTCACGAGCAGCGGGGTACGCCAAGTGGACGGCATGATAGCCCACTCGACAACTCGAGGCGCACATCAAGCTTTCACCACACCAGGCGGGTCTGGCGATCCCGTGTGGGAAATCAAGGAGACACAGCAGGTGCCTGAAGACTTCTACCCGTCCCGCAAAATTGCATCAAATGTCGCTCATGAGCAACACATCGCTGAGCACCTGCGCGAAGACATCAACAGCGCGTGGTCGATTCCTCTGGACGGCAGCTACTACTTCAACGGCAAAGCTGCGCAGAAGTATGCATCCCTGTGCCTAATTGCGAACGACGTCGCGATTGTGGGCGACGACAAGAGTCTACTGAACACATGCCTGGAGAAACTACGCCGTGTGATGGCGCCGTTCGTAGCCAATAGATGGGCCAACAAGCTCCAGTACGACCAGGTCTACGGTGGCATCGTGAGCTCGCAAGGTTTCAAGACCAAAGATCTCAACTCGGACTTCGGTAACACCATGTACAACGACCATCACTTCCATTACGGCTACTGGGTACACACGGCGGCCATCATCAACCGCCTCGACCCGATGTGGAGTGACCTCAGCAAACTCAACATCATGGTCGACCTTCTCGTACGCGACGTCGCCAACTTCGACCGCGAAGACAAGTTCTTCGCACGATTTCGCTCGTTCGACTGGTTCCGCGGCCACTCGTACTCACACGGCGTCACTCCGTTTGCCGATGGAAAAGACCAGGAGAGCACGTCGGAAGACGTCAACTTTGCCTTCGGAATGTACATGTATGGCAAGGCCACGAACAACGCGGCTATGGAGGCTGTCGGCAAGCTCATGACGCGTGTCAACGCGCATGCCATTAAGACGTACTTCCTCGTCGAGGACGCGAACCAAATTCACCCGGCCAACTTCCGCCCCAACAAGGTCACGGGCATCTTCTTCGATAACAAGGTGGACTACGCAACATGGTTCAGCGCTGAGAAGCACTGCATCCACGGCATCCAGATGATCCCCGTGTCGGCTGTGACCGAGTTCGTGCGCACCAAACAGTTTGTAAAAGAGGAATGGGAGCAGGTGCTGGGCAAGGAGGCCATCGTTACGCGCGAGGACACAGGCAACACCTGGCTCTCGCTGCTGTACGCGAACTTTGCGATGGTGGACAAGCAGCGCGCGCTGCGTGTTCTGCAGAAAACAAAGATGGACGACGGCCTGTCTCGTTCCTGGGCACTCTACATGGCTGCCAGCTTTGCTGAGTGAGTCATACCATCTGCTGATGTCGTTGGGATTAGTACACCGAGCACTGCTGCCACAAGAGATCACGTAGTGTCGCGTCCGTTCAGCTGGTGTTGATTGTGTAATTTCAACTTCATCCAATACACTCGATATCGTTGCAGCTCGAGAAAACGTGGTCGACTCTTTTCGACCTCTCAACATCATGCATATTTCGGGGCAACGTGGCTAACGAAAGCACACGCACGTGTTGGCCGCCGCTTCATTGGTGCCGTGCCCTGCACTTAGTAGGTGACAAGATCTTCTCCGCTACCATTACATAGCAGGCCAAACTTCGACATGGATGGCACGGCGAGGACTCCAAAGTCCTCCACGATAACAGCAGTGGCGTCACTGTCATCTGCAGTTGGCGTTCATCGAGCGCCGTTTCCCACATCGATAGATAGCATTGCCTCATCAGTCATCGACGGATGTAATTTTCCGCTCGTAATGCCGACCAGGTAGTAAGTTACACCCAGACTTCCGCCAGTGCAGAGAAACTTGAATGAGATGAGCCCTCCCCGTAGAGCGGTGTGTAGCCTGGATGCGTATCAGCGAAGTCTGAATACCCTCGCTCCACTCCTTGACCGTGTCACGCGTGTACTTTCCATAGCACGCAAGTCCGATAATATTACTCATTCGAGCTTTGCGGTCACTGGAGCAGCAGTTGTGGTGAAGATGCCACTGTCTCAAAAAAAGTAGGGAAGAGCGACAATGCGAACGCCTTTCAAATTACGTGTGCCCTCTTCTTAGCGGGAGGGGCTATTCCAGCACATACTGGAAGACCATCTAGCAGATACTTCGTTTTGCCTTTTCGGCGGTTTATGCGCGTCTAACATAGATGGACAATAACGGTGGCGGCTGTGGTAGATGTGCATACTTGATCCATCTATCTCCGCTACGCCCGTTCCCCGCGCCTCGCGCTCGCTTCTGTGATCGTACTTCAAATGGCAGGGCTGCATCAATGGCCACTTAGGGTCCCACCATCACTGGTTTTAGGGTCTTCATTTTTTGCGCGTTGCCTTCGCGTCGCATGAATACGGCAGATCGGCCGCGTTTGCAATCGTCCCTACGCCTAGGAGTTGACAGATTGAAACTGTCCCACATTTCTGCAGCAAAGAGAAGAGAAGCACTCGGAGCACTTGAAAGACAGACTCGCAGCGTATTGGTTAAAGTGTCTTTCAGTCCCGCGCAACACCTGACCTTTCTGTCGTTCGAAAAATACCACGACAAGCTCCGCGACGGTGCTTAGTTCCTGGCACAGAGATATTCAAAGGTACTGTTACCTCGATAAAGTACGATCTTGAGGTCACAAAACGAACCTATCTCTGCAACTCTCTCCGCCCACCGTGTTCGGATAGTTGTCTTCAGGTGTGTTGAGTCCAACGTGAACCATGAGTGATCGTGACAAAGTGTAATCCCACATTTGTTATTCGCTGTCTCGTACGGACCTATTTTTGAGCTAATCTATCATGACAACCGCTATAAAATCGACGCTCTGTTTACAAATCAAAATAGCAGAACATCCTGATTGATCTACGCTACAGGGATGAGCCTGCTATCTTATCTTGAGGCCACTCCATCGAGCGGCAGTATGCGCGAGGAAGTAGCGAAACGATGAGACATCCCTCACTTATGTGGAGTGATAAACGTGGAGGTTTAGATGTAAACGCACAGGAAAATGTGGGCGTTATGTTTCTTGATGGAATTGGTGATGGCAAATCGGAGACCGAGCAACACAGATGGCGATGAAGACGAGAACTAAGCACAATAACGATGACCGAGGCAACAACAACTACAAGCCACAATAATGAGGAAGGAACATAACATTAGCAGCTACAAGTACGAGCACGATAACGTTCACAAACACGACGAACACGATAACATCAGCAACAACCACGAACAAGATACAAAAACTAAGACGGCAAACAAGATTGCAACAGGGACTGCAAGAATGACGCTAACGACTACAGCGACGATCAGACGGCCGCAGGCAATTGTAAATTTTCTCGAGATGCGCTTAGCCAAGCGCCGCACCTTACCGTTTTTAGCCAATCATAGTTCGAATCTTACGAACATACCGATCGTCTGAGTCAAGACAAGAGTTGTAACGGGGCACCCTGAAGCTTGTACTGGTGACAGTACAAGCTACTTATTCTGATAACAGAATAAGGCGGTGCCTCGTAACTTCACGTACACTCGTACGTGCAGAGGAAGACGGTAAGAAGAAGCGAGTACTTGGTTAGAGTAAAAAGTAGAACTGTATTTATAATAGTTAATGTCTGCAATAAATCACTATTTATCTTCATCTAACTATGTCTAAATACAAATGTGTAAATCAGTTATCTGCTCACCACTCATTGCGTGCGTCTGTCGTGGCGCGTCTTCGTTGGTTGGATATAATGGCCTATATCAACCAATTAGGAACTACTTGGAAGTGCTACCGAATATTGTCCTTATGACAATATTCTGAGAATATAACTCTTATAGTTATATTCTATTAACAATTTCTTATAAATTGTTATGTAACGATTCACCCCGTTACATCACCCCCCTTAACCATCAGTCACTTTAGTGACTGATTGACTAAATGGATACTCGTCCCAAATCATTTGGGACGGGGTTTGCACTTGTTGGTCCGCGTCCACTTTCCAACATCTCATCGCATGGTAAACAAGCCCATGCGATGCGCGAGCAAGGCCGCCGAGAGCGCGTCTGCACGTCTCTGTGCGGACGCCGAAGCAGAAACTACAGCAACTGATGTCCCATCGGTTGCTGAATCGACTTCAGCCTGTATCACCTGGTGATGCAGGCGCTGGTCATGAAGACACTCGTGTCTTCACAGAGTACGAGCTCGGTGTCTCGTACTCTCCTGATACGGATGACGGATCCGTATCGACGGCAATTGAATCCAAGCCGCCTGCCAAGCGTGGCATGGACGATGCTTTGCGTCGCAGCATCTTTGGTTCATCTGATGAGTCAGATGAACCATCGCCGAAGCGAAGGCGCTCGAGGTCGCGAGACTCGGGCGCTAATAGTGGTGTCGTTTCTCCAATGGACACCACTTCACAGCGAGGTGCCAGTACTTCTGTCGGCACGTCGCAGGAAGAGCGGGACCGCAATGTGTTGCGTCTCGCTCCAGAAAAGAAGGCATGGATGCCTCCTAAATCCGTCATGGATCACTTGTCGGCGACGACGAGTGATCGTTATCGAACACGATTGTTCGATTCGTCAAGGATTCATCACTTGACCCCAGCGCGAAAGACTATCGCGCTGAACATGAGTTCTTCATCGATGCTTTCTTCAGACATCGATGGTACAGTGGGAATCACAAACGTGATGGTCCCTCACTACTTCAGGCGTGGAACGCCTACATCCATAATCTCGAGGATGTAGGTCGTGACGCTTGGAACGACAAACTTATCAAAGCTCGTGATAAGTTTGAAAAGCGAACCCCGACAGGTGCACGCTACAAGCTGCATCGTCTGTCAAGGGAGAAAGGATTACCCTGCCTCTCTTGGGGAGACTCGTGCCCATGTTGTGTGAACAACTCTGCACGAGCACCTAAGGAGGCTTACCTCCTTAATAGCCCGTGGTGGCGCGTACGTGTCTCTACTGAGATGTACGAAGGGATTGACAACCTGAAATCCCTTTACGACCGTGCCGGGAAGACTTTCTCCGGCGGTCCTTCTGCGGCACAGGATGTGTCGCGTCGTACTGCTCGACCAGACCCAGTACGTCAACCATCAATTGGGAGCGGGGCTCCCAAGAATCCCAGGACGGGGGATAGCCGCGCCACCGGACGAGGTAACTCGTCCGACGTCCGTTCACGTCGCGGTGGTTCAACAGCTGCTCAACCAGATAGCGCTGGCCACCGCGAGAGTCCTCTAATGGAGGTGGTGGAGGAGGAAAGACGCTCTCCACACGATCATGTGGATCGGTGTGTTCCCGAGAGCTTCTTTGATCGCGTAACGCAAGGGTTACGCGACGATCTCGAGCATGAGCGGAATAGGCGTCTCCAGATGGTGGACACTGCCTCGAAGCATCGAGCTGAGTTTGCCTTTGCTCAGCTTGAGAACGAGAGATCTCTGACATCTCTTCGTGACGAGCTAAGGGTAGCTCGTGGGATTGTTGATCGGTCTCGGGCTGAGATAACTGCTCTTCAGACCCTTGTTGATGCCCACCATCGGGAGCACAAGGCTCTCTGCGAGATGCTTGAGCGCAAGGGCGTTCTTCATCGGAAGAAGCAGCGTACTGATGGTACGGCTTAAGCCGACCAACGTAAAACGTGGGATGCGTTCGCATCTTACGTGGTAACTCGATCGTGTATGCATTGCCTAGGCGGTGCAATACACGAAATGGGCCAATGTACTTGGGTAGTAGTTTACTGCTACCCAAGTTAGTCACTACATGTTTTGGTAGATTAACCGTAGACAGTAGGACTAAGTCACCTTTATTAAATAAAAGAGTGTTTGCCCTTCCATTCTTGTCAGCGTTTTGCTTTTGCTTATCCACCGCTTCGGCGATGGAGTCTTGCACAAAACGGACTACCGTTTCACGAGCCAGTATGAACTCATCTGATGACTCGTTAGCTTCAGTGTGCTGTGAGCGCACTGCAGCGACAACAACCTTTTCTTCAGTGAGGGCTTCCGCACTCTCACTGGGATCATTGTCTTCAGTGAGGGCTTCCGCACTCTCACTGGCATCATCTTCTTCGATATCGATGTTATCGATATCGGCATCAAACGCAATGACTTCTTCGTCAGAGCGTGATGAGCGTGAACCAAATCGGTTTTTGCTCGCTCGAGTCTCTCCCCCCCTTAAACCAGAGTTACACTCGAGTAAGGTGGGTACACGCGGATGGCGCAAGCCATTCACGTAAAACGGTGTATGTGTCGTGGACGCATGCACCGAGTTGTTGATGGCAAACTCTACCATCGGCAAAAACTCACTCCAACTCTTAAAGGAGTGTACGTATCCTCGAAGTATCTCTTCAAGGACACGATTGGCACGTTCCGTCTGACCATCTGACTCTGGATGATCAGATGTTGACATCTTCAAGCGCGTTCCGAGTGATTTGAACACGGAACGCCAGAAATCAGCAGTGAATCGTGGATCTCTGTCTGATACGAGTTCACGGGGCAACCCATGAAGTCGGAAGATGGTGTCAATAAAGACACAAGCACAGCCACTTGCCGTGATTGTCTCTGGTACAGCCACAAGGTGTACCATTTTGCTGAATCTGTCAACAAATACGAGAATACCCGTATTCCCGCGTGCGTCTTTGGGTAACCCGAAGACGAAATCCATTGAGATGGATTCCCAGCACTCAGCCGGAACCGGTAGAGGCTGTAAAGGTGCACGCAGTGAAGGACTTGACTTCACTCGTTGGCAGACTTCGCATGCGCGAACATACTTTCGCACAAACTGATACTGGCGGGGCCAGTAAAAGTCTCGACTTACCGTGAGATATGTTTTCTCTCGGCCACGATGTCCTCCTATAGGAGCATCGTGATACTCGAACATGATCCGCAAACGCAGATCAGTATCATCTGGAATGACAACACGTGGTGTGTCACCAGAAACGGCTGTATAGTACAGTAAACCGTTACGAGTAGTGTATCGATCTGATGCAGATCGATACGCAGACGACAATCGTTTCAACGATTCTCGAGATGGTTGGGAGAGATGTGACAACAACTTCACTATCTCACCATCTTGGGCGTATGCCCGCCTCACATCATCATACAACGTTGTAGATGGAACTGAGGACGTCATAACCGCAACAGTGACTGTCTCACTGTTGGGTTTCGCGACTGTTTCAAAGTCGGGACGACGTGAGAGTGCATCAGCGACGACATTAAGTCGTCCTGGTTTGTACTCGACCGTAAAGTTGTATTCCGCAAAGAATGACAACCACCGCGCCATTCGTTGTGAAAGGTGCGGGCTGTTCACTGCCGTGCGTAAGGACGCATGGTCAGTGTAAACAACGAAGGGTCTATCTCCTAATAGATAGACTCTGAACTTCGCGAGTGCATACTTCATGGCAAGGAGTTCCTTGTCATGCACTGGATAGTTCCGCTCAGCTGGTTGCAGCTGACGCGACTGATAGCAGACGACGCGTTCAACGCCTTCAAGGTCGTACTGCATTAACGCACAGCCGATTGCGAAATCGCTGGCATCACAGACCACATGAAATGGCCTGTCCTGATCGGCTATTGCTAGGACTGGGGATTGTATCAAGCTCTGCTTGATACCCTCAAAGGAGCGTTGACATTCAGCGTTCCATAACCACCTCTCGTTCTTTTTCAACAAATGAGAGAGGTGTACAGTCATCTCGGCGTAATTGCGTGAATACTTGTGCAAATACGCCGCTAGCCCAAGGAATTTTCGAAGACCTTTGACATCGACCGGCACAGGCCAGTCGGTGATCGCCTTGATCTTTTCGGGATCAGGACGTACACCGTTCTTACCAACGATGCACCCAAGAAGTGGTATTTCGCTTGCTGCAAATATACACTTCTTGAGGTTTGCATACAATTGATGCTTTCGCATGATTGTAAGAACTTGTCGGACGTGGTACTTGTGAACCTCAACGTCCGACTTTCCATCCATAGCTCGACTATGGATGAATACGTCATCGAAATAACTCGGCGCGAATTCTCGTACTGGCCTCAACAGATGTGATACACACCTGTTGAACGTGGCAGGGGCATTACTGAGCCCTTGTGGCATTACTAGCCATTCCCAGAGCATGCCGCTAGGCGTGCTAACTGCGGTATAGGGTATATCCCGTTCCCGCATTAGGATTTGATAGAAGCCATCCATCAAATCCATGGACGAAAAGATGGTACTCTTTGACATACCATCAATGATTACGTCCTTCCTCGGTATCGGCGTCTGAGCCGGTACCGTTGCAGCGTTCAATTTGTTAAATGCGTGCACTATCCGCCACCCTCCTGTTGCTTTTCGCACACAGAAGGTCGGAGAGCTATGTGGGGAAGTTGATTCCCTCATGGCCCGCCGCTAAACGATCGGCAAAGAACTTGTCGATCGCAAGTACTTGTTCACGAGGCAGTGGCCACTGCTTCATGACACAGTACTTCGAGCCTGGTTTAAGCTCGACTTCGTGTCGAATACCTTTATCCTTCGGTAATTCGCACGGAACAGTTTCAGGGAATACATCCTTGAATTCAACCAAATCTTCATAGAGAGGATTTTCCTTGAGCGATTCCCATGATTGGGACTCATATCGCTCAATTCGTGTCTTTTCATCTAGGACACTCTCGTCCATAGATGAACTACTGAGAACTCTCTCGTTCTCAGTAAACACTGTTGCTGACCTTATGTCGGTTACATACTCGTCTTCAGCGACGAGTATGCAGATCTGCTTGACTTTGCCACTACGCAGATCACGCAAGAATCTTTTATGTTCGAGCGTTGGCAACTGAGTGATCTCCGAAGTTAACTTCGGAGGCGCAATCAGATCAAGTGTATAAGCGCCTACACATGATCCGTTATTGACTATGACATTCAATGTCTCTGTCATTTCCTGGGGACTTATTCCCTCAGGCTTCGAAGGACTTATTCCTTCGTCTTCCCGGGGACTTATTCCCGCGGGTTTCGGGAACTTATTTCCGCCGTATTTGTAATCTTGGGACTTATTCCCTTTACTTCCTCTAGCTGGGGTTGCGCAACCACAGCGAGATCCTCTACGAAAGACTCTCCAGTCGATCTAGGATTATCGTTTCGCTTAACCTGAGCGATCGATTGTTTCTCTTCTAGATGTTCCCTCTCTAGGGATACATCTTTGTCCCAGTCCACCCGACTTATTCGAGTGGTGGACCTTCGGCGCAGCCTGTGTTTCCCTCACAGCCGCCGGAACTTTGCTCCGAAGTGTAACCGTTTGGTACACTAAGGTTTTGTGCAGTCGTACTAACGACCGTACCACAAGTGAGGCCATCGCACTCACTTGTAGTACATCCACACGCTTGTGGACGCTCCAAAACGTTCATCAGATGGCCATCTGATGAACAAGCGGCAGGCATCGTTACTGTCCGATGTTGCCAGTTTACCCGTGGTTCGTACCTTCTGAGCCACGGTATTCCAAAGGATGACATCAAATTTGTCATCCAAATCCAATACGATAAAGTCATCGTCATATTGGGTATCTTCTAGCGTATAGTGGATCTTCACTATACGCTTCATGACGGTTACGGATGCGCCTGTCGCAAGACGTACCGTCATCCTCGTAGGAGGTGTGTCACATTCACTGAATTTAAAGTGACCATCTTCTAGCGATTGGCGTCGCACAAAATTGTTGGACGCCCCACAATCGACTAGAGCTCGAAGGGACAACTTATTCGTCACTTCGAGTTTCAAGGTAATGAGTGAGATCTCATTACCTAGAGCAGCAACGCACAACGTTGTGTGTTGGGAGCAACCTTCATCAAGAGGCCTACAAATTCTCTTGACGTTGCTGGATCAGTAGGGTGCCCGCACCTACCGATCCTGTCCGTTTTTTGACGGTCCATCCCGTTGTTGCGTCTTTGCACCAACTGCGGACCCTCGTCCCTGCCCCTTTCTCATGGGTGGATGGTCACTACGCCCAGTGTCGCGAGACACTGGACGAGGGGCACTACACTCGTAAGCGTAGTGTCCTGTCTTTTGACATCTGTTGCATCTCTGCAACTTCTTGTAGCCTGTAGAGCGAGCCTTCTCGCTCTCTACATAACAGAGTTCCATCGGCTCTGGACCTCCGTTGTCATATCGTCTCGGTTGACGATATGATGTCGAGCTGGCGCGAGCCTGTCTCAGACTGAAGTCTTCCTGCTCCGCAATTGAAATGGCTTGTTCTAGTGAATCTAGTTCAAGCCGGAACAGGTGAGTCTTGACGGGACCATCCGCAAGACCCTGCATGAACACCGAAACCAACGTGTGTTCATCCACCGGATTGGAACTTATACAACTCGTGAGATGTCGTATATGTTGAGCGTAAGCGTGCACATCACGCTTACCCTGCTTGAGCTTCAAGAGTTCGGTTCCGAGCTCTGAACTCAGCTCTAGGCGGTTCAAACGTTTGTCTGAGCCGCGACTTGAAGACTTCCAACGACCCAAACGCATATGGGTCGTGCAGCTTGAGCCCCAGTGCCCAAGTCTTGGCACGTCCTGCCAGATTTGACTGGGCAAATGCAACTTGCATATCCCCGTCGTCGATGCGACGCGCCCTTATGGCGTCATCCAATTCGACGAACCATCTCAAGAGGGAGTCTTCTTCGACCCCCCTATACTTTGAGATGTCAATCTTCAAAGTCTCGGGCCGACGCGAGTGCATCGACCCGCCAGCAGCAGCCTGCTGCTGTCTCAACAGTTCAAACTGTTGAGCACCTTGTTCTCTCAACAACTCTGCTTGTTGAGAACCTTGTTGGTGAAGCAAGGCTACTTTCTCGCGTTCTGCGTCAAGTTCATTTTGAATGAACTTGGCGATAGTAGCATGTTGGGCATCTCTATTGAGAGCCTCTAGCATGACGCTAACAGCATGGATGCCCATGGTCGAACCCATTCGTTCAACCGCATCCCCATTCGACATCGCTCAAATGGGAGTAGCCGTCACGCGTAGCGTGAAAGCTTTGGTCATCTTCATCATCCAACATATTCATGTTGGATGTGAACGCGGTCCTTGAACGGACTACGAAGTGCTACCAGGTGTAACGGGGCACCCTGGAAGCTTGTACTGGTGACAGTACAAGCTACTTATTCTGATAACAGAATAAGGCGGTGCCTCGTAACTTCACGTACACTCGTACGTGCAGAGGAAGACGGTAAGAAGAAGCGAGTACTTGGTTAGAGTAAAAGTAGAACTGTATTTATAATAGTTAATGTCTGCAATAAATCACTATTTATCTTCATCTAACTATGTCTAAATACAAATGTGTAAATCAGTTATCTGCTCACCACTCATTGCGTGCGTCTGTCGTGGCGCGTCTTCGTTGGTTGATATAATGGCCTATATCAACCAATTAGGAACTACTTGAAGTGCTACAGAATATTGTCCTTATGACAATATTCTGAGAATATAACTCTTATAGTTATATTCTATTAACAATTTCTTATAAATTGTCACGTAATGATTCACCCTTTACAGATCCGAAGTTTGCAGCGCTGGCGCTTTTGTGCTGCCCATTCTCCTCATAATGTCGAGTTACGTCTCCGCAATTGAAGCTCGATATCATCTTTCTAGCAAACCGGAGTGCATCGATGACTACCTCAAACAAGACCTTTTATGAAATAGCATAATGGTCTTGCTGGCGGTGCACGCATCAGCTTTGCGTGTTTCGATGGTATAATCTTGCAATGTTTCAGCACACACTTCTTTCTGATCGAAGATCACACTGATGATTATTCTTGACATGTGACTAATTTTTTATGCATTGACGTTTTGTAACGGGGTGAATCGTTACATAACAATTTATAAGAAATTGTTAATAGAATATAACTATAAGAGTTATATTCTCAGAATATTGTCATAAGGACAATATTCTGTAGCACTTCCAAGTAGTTCCTAATTGGTTGATATAGGCCATTATATCAACCAACGAAGACGCGCCACGACAGACGCACGCAATGAGTGGTGAGCAGATAACTGATTTACACATTTGTATTTAGACATAGTTAGATGAAGATAAATAGTGATTTATTGCAGACATTAACTATTATAAATACAGTTCTACTTTTTACTCTAACCAAGTACTCGCTTCTTCTTACCGTCTTCCTCTGCACGTACGAGTGTACGTGAAGTTACGAGGCACCGCCTTATTCTGTTATCAGAATAAGTAGCTTGTACTGTCACCAGTACAAGCTTCAGGGTGCCCCGTTACACCTGGTAGCACTTTGTAGTCCGTCCAAGGACCGCGTTCACATCCAACATGAATATGTTGGATGATGAAGATGACCAAAGCTTTCACGCTACGCGTGACGGCTACTCCCATTTGAGCGATGTCGAATGGGATGCGGTTGAACGAATGGGTTCGACCATGGGCATCCATGCTGTTAGCGTCATGCTAGAGGCTCTCAATAGAGATGCCCAACATGCTACTATCGCCAAGTTCATTCAAAATGAACTTGACGCAGAACGCGAGAAAGTAGCCTTGCTTCACCAACAAGGTTCTCAACAAGCAGAGTTGTTGAGAGAACAAGGTGCTCAACAGTTTGAACTGTTGAGACAGCAGCAGGCTGCTGCTGGCGGGTCGATGCACTCGCGTCGGCCCGAGACTTTGAAGATTGACATCTCAAAGTATAGGGGGTCGAAGAAGACTCTCTCTTGAGATGGTTCGTCGAATTGGATGACGCCATAAGGGCGCGTCGCATCGACGACGGGGATATGCAAGTTGCATTTGCCCAGTCAAATCTGGCAGGACGTGCCAAGACTTGGGCACTGGGGCTCAAGCTGCACGACCCATATGCGTTTGGGTCGTTGGAAGTCTTCAAGTCGCGGCTCAGACAAACGTTTGAACCGCCTAGAGCTGAGTTCAGAGCTCGAACCGAACTCTTGAAGCTCAAGCAGGGTAAGCGTGATGTGCACGCTTACGCTCAACATATACGACATCTCACGAGTTGTATAAGTTCCAATCCGGTGGATGAACACACGTTGGTTTCGGTGTTCATGCAGGGTCTTGCGGATGGTCCCGTCAAGACTCACCTGTTCCGGCTTGAACTAGATTCACTAGAACAAGCCATTTCCATAGCGGAGCAGGAAGACTTCAGTCTGAGACAGGCTCGCGCCAGCTCGACATCATATCGTCAACCGAGACGATATGACAACGGAGGTCCAGAGTTGATATGCTCTGTTATGTAGAGAGCGAGAAGGCTCGCTCTACAGGCTACAAGAAGTTGCAGAGATGCAACAGATGTCAAAAGACAGGACACTACGCGTACGAGTGTAGTGCCCCTCGTCCAGTGTCTCGCGACACTGGGCGTAGTGACCGTCCACCCATGAGAAAGGGGCAGGGACGAGGGTCCGCAGTTGGTGCAAAGACGCAACAACGGGATGGACCGTCAAAAAACGGACAGGATCAGTAGGTGCGGAGCACCCTACTGATCCAGCAACGTCAAGAGAATTTGTAGGCCTCTTGATGAAGGTTGCTCCCAACACACAGACATTGTGCGTTGCTGCTCTAGGTAATGAGATCTCACTCATTACCTTGAAACTCGAAGTGACGAATAAGTTGTCCCTTCGAGCTCTAGTCGATTGTGGGGCGTCCAACAATTTTGTGCGACGCCAATCGCTAGAAGATGGTCACTTTAAGTTCAGTGAATGTGACACACCTCCTACGAGGATGACGGTACGTATTGCGACAGGCGCATCCGTAACCGTCATGAAGCGTATAGTGAAGATCCACTATACGCTAGAAGATACCCAATATGACGATGACTTTATCGTATTGGATTTGGATGACAAATTTGATGTCATCCTTGGAATACCGTGGCTCAGAAGGTACGAACCACGAGTAAACTGGCAACATCGAACTGTAACGATGCCTGCCGCTTGTTCATCAGACGGCCATCTGATGAACGTTTTGGAGAGTCCACAAGCGTGTGGATGTACTACGAGTGAGTGCGATGGCCTCACTTGTGGTACGGTCGTTAGTACGACTGCACAAAACCTTAGTGTACCAAACGGTTACACTTCGGAGCAAAGTTCCGGCGGCTGTGAGGAAACACAGGCTGCGCCGAAGGTCCACCACTCGAATAAGTCGGGTGGACTGGGACAAAGATGTATCCCTAGAGGGGAACATCTAGAAGAGAAACAATCGATCGCTCAGGTTAAGCGAAACGATAATCCTAGATCGACTGGAGAGTCTTTCGTAGAGGATCTCGCTGTGGTTGCGCAACCCCAGCTAGAGGAAGTAAAGGGAATAAGTCCCAAGATTACAAATACGGCGGAAATAAGTTCCCCGAAACCCGCGGGAATAAGTCCCCGGGAAGACGAAGGAATAAGTCCTTCGAAGCCTGAGGGAATAAGTCCCCAGGAAATGACAGAGACATTGAATGTCATAGTCAATAACGGATCATGTGTAGGCGCTTATACACTTGATCTGATTGCGCCTCCGAAGTTAACTTCGGAGATCACTCAGTTGCCAACGCTCGAACATAAAAGATTCTTGCGTGATCTGCGTAGTGGCAAAGTCAAGCAGATCTGCATACTCGTCGCTGAAGACGAGTATGTAACCGACATAAGGTCAGCAACAGTGTTTACTGAGAACGAGAGAGTTCTCAGTAGTTCATCTATGGACGAGAGTGTCCTAGATGAAAAGACACGAATTGAGCGATATGACTCTCAATCGTGGGAATCGCTCAAGACAAATCCTCTCTATGACGATTTGGTTGAATTCAAGGATGTATTCCCTGAAACTGTTCCGTGCGAATTACCGAAGGATAAAGGTATTCGACACGAAGTCGAGCTTAAACCAGGCTCGAAGTACTGTGTCATGAAGCAGTGGCCACTGCCTCGTGAACAAGTACTTGCGATCGACAAGTTCTTTGCCGATCGTTTAGCAGCGGGCCATGTGAGGGAATCAACTTCCCCACATAGCTCTCCGACCTTCTGTGTGCGAAAAGCAACAGGAGGGTGGCGGATAGTGCACGCGTTTAACAAATTGAACGCTGCAACGGTACCGGCTCAGACGCCGATACCGAGGAAGGACGTAATCATTGATGGTATGTCAAAGAGTACCATCTTTTCGTCCATGGATTTGATGGATGGCTTCTATCAAATCCTAATGCGGGAACGGGATATACCCTATACCGCAGTTAGCACGCCTAGCGGCATGCTCTGGGAATGGCTAGTAATGCCACAAGGGCTCAGTAATGCCCCTGCCACGTTCAACAGGTGTGTATCACATCTGTTGAGGCCAGTACGAGAATTCGCGCCGAGTTATTTCGATGACGTATTCATCCATAGTCGAGCTATGGATGGAAAGTCGGACGTTGAGGTTCACAAGTACCACGTCCGACAAGTTCTTACAATCATGCGAAAGCATCAATTGTATGCAAACCTCAAGAAGTGTATTTTTGCAGCAAGCGAAATACCACTTCTTGGGTGCATCGTTGGTAAGAACGGTGTACGTCCTGATCCCGAAAAGATCAAGGCGATCACCGACTGGCCCGTGCCGGTCGATGTCAAAGGTCTTCGAAAATTCCTTGGGCTAGCGGCGTATTTGCATAAGTATTCACGCAATTACGCCGAGATGACTGTACACCTCTCCGTTTGTTGAAAAAGAACGAGAGGTGGTTATGGAACGCTAAATGTCAACGCTCCTTTGAGGGTATCAAGCAGAGCTTGATACAATCCCCAGTCCTAGCAATAGCCGATCAGGACAGGCCATTTCATGTGGTCTGTGATGCCAGCGATTTCGCAATCGGCTGTGCATTAATGCAGTACGATCTTGAAGGCGTTGAACGCGTCGTCTGCTATCAGTCGCGTCAGCTGCAACCAGCTGAGCGGAACTATCCAGTGCATGACAAGGAACTCCCTTGCCATGAAGTATGCACTCGCGAAGTTCAGAGTCTATCTATTAGGAGATAGACCCTTCGTTGTTTACACTGACCATGCGTCCTTACGCACGGCAGTGAACAGCCCGCACCTTTCACAACGAATGGCGCGGTGGTTGTCATTCTTTGCAGAATACAACTTTACGGTCGAGTACAAACCAGGACGACTTAATGTCGTCGCTGATGCACTCTCACGTCGTCCCGGCTTTGAAACAGTCGCGAAACCCAACAGTGAGACAGTCACTGTTGCGGTTATGACGTCCTCAGTTCCATCTACAACGTTGTATGATGATGTGAGGCGGGCATACGCCCAAGATGGTGAGATAGTGAAGTTGTTGTCACATCTCTCCCAACCATCTCGAGAATCGTTGAAACGACTGTCGTCTGCGTATCGATCTGCATCAGATCGATACACTACTCGTAACGGTTTACTGTACTATACAGCCGTTTCTGGTGACACACCACGTGTTGTCATTCCAGATGATACTGATCTGCGTTTGCGGATCATGTTCGAGTATCACGATGCTCCTATAGGAGGACATCGTGGCCGAGAGAAAACATATCTCACGGTAAGTCGAGACTTTTACTGGCCCCGCCAGTATCAGTTTGTGCGAAAGTATGTTCGCGCATGCGAAGTCTGCCAACGAGTGAAGTCAAGTCCTTCACTGCGTGCAGCTTTACAGCCTCTACCGGTTCCGGCTGAGTGCTGGGAATCCATCTCAATGGATTTCGTCTTCGGGTTACCCAAAGACGCACGCGGGAATACGGGTATTCTCGTATTTGTTGACAGATTCAGCAAAATGGTACACCTTGTGGCTGTACCAGAGACAATCACGGCAAGTGGCTGTGCTTGTGTCTTTATTGACACCATCTTCCGACTTCATGGGTTGCCCCGTGAACTCGTATCAGACAGAGATCCACGATTCACTGCTGATTTCTGGCGTTCCGTGTTCAAATCACTCGGAACGCGCTTGAAGATGTCAACATCTGATCATCCAGAGTCAGATGGTCAGACGGAACGTGCCAATCGTGTCCTTGAAGAGATACTTCGAGGATACGTACACTCCTTTAAGAGTTGGAGTGAGTTTTTGCCGATGGTAGAGTTTGCCATCAACAACTCGGTGCATGCGTCCACGACACATACACCGTTTTACGTGAATGGCTTGCGCCATCCGCGTGTACCCACCTTACTAGAGTGTAACTCTGGTTTAAGGGGGGAGGGACTCGCGCGAGCAAAAACCGATTTGGTTCACGCTCATCACGCTCTGACGAAGAAGTCATTGCGTTTGATGCCGATATCGATAACATCGATATCGAAGAAGATGATGCCAGTGAGAGTGCGGAAGCCCTCACTGAAGACAATGATCCCAGTGAGAGTGCGGAAGCCCTCACTGAAGAAAAGTTTGTTGTCGCTGCAGTGCGCTCACAGCACACTGAAGCTAACGAGTCATCAGATGAGTTCATACTGGCTCGTGAAACGGTAGTCCGTTTTGTGCAAGACTCCATCGCCGAAGCGGTGGATAAGCAAAAGCAAAACGCTGACAAGAATGGAAGGGCAAACACTCTTTTATTTAATAAAGGTGACTTAGTCCTACTGTCTACGGTTAATCTACCAAAGCATGTAGTGACTAACTTGGGTAGCAGTAAACTACTACCCAAGTACATTGGCCCATTTCGTGTATTGCACCGCCTAGGCAATGCATACACGATCGAGTTACCACGTAAGATGCGAACGCATCCCACGTTTTACGTTGGTCGGCTTAAGCCGTACCATCTGTACGCTGCTTCTTCCGATGAAGAACGCCCTTGCGCTCAAGCATCTCGCAGAGAGCCTTGTGCTCCCGATGGTGGGCATCAACAAGGGTCTGAAGAGCAGTTATCTCAGCCCGAGACCGATCAACAATCCCACGAGCTACCCTTAGCTCGTCACGAAGAGATGTCAGAGATCTCTCGTTCTCAAGCTGAGCAAAGGCAAACTCAGCTCGATGCTTCGAGACAGTGTCCGCCATTCGGAGACGCCTATTCCGCTCATGCTCGAGATCGTCGCGTAACCCTTGCGTTACGCGATCAAAGAAGCTCTCGGGAACACACCAATCCACATGATCGTGTGGAGAGCGTCTTTCCTCCTCCTCCACCTCCATTAGAGGACTCTCGCGGTGGCCAGCGCTATCTAGTTGAGCAGCTGTTGAACCACCGCGACGTGAACGGACGTCGGACGAGTTACCTCGTCCGGTGGCGCGGCTATCCCCCGTCCTGGGATTCTTGGGAGCCCCCGCTCCCAACTGATGATCGACGTACTGGGTCTGGTCGAGCAGTACGACGCGACACATCCTGTGCCGCAGAAGGACCGCCGGAGAAAGTCTTCCCGGCACGGTCGTAAAGGGATTTCAGGTTGTCAATCCCTTCGTACATCTCAGTAGAGACACGTACGCGCCACCACGGGCTGGTAAGGAGGTAAGCCTCCTTAGGTGCTCGTGCAGAGTTGTTCACACAACATGGGCACGAGTCTCCCCAAGAGAGGCAGGGTA